CTCCTGACTGGAATATTCTACTTCCTCACCTTTACCTCCTGGCTTCCTTCATTTCCTTCAAGTTTCAACTAAAATCTCATCTTCAGCAAGAAGACTTTTCTCATCTCCCTTAATGCTAGTGATTTCCCTCTGTTGATTACTTCCAATTTATCCTACCCATATCTTGTTTTACATCATTCTTTGCAGGTTGTCTCTTCCATTAGGCTGTGGGCTCATTAAAGGCCGGGGCTATTTTCACCTTTCTTTGTGCTTGGCCCAGTCCCTGGCACATAGTATATACTTGTGGACTTGGGACACCAGGCAATCATCAGGAAAACACCTCAAATTCCTATTAGGTCCTCACTGAAAGTAGAATCCCCCAAATAGTAAAGTGAGCTCAGTTGAAGGGAGGCTATAGTGGAAGTATACATGTTAGAAGATGTCATTTTTATGTCCTATGCATCTATATCAACCACAGAGGGGTCATGGGAACCTAGGTACATAAGCTTAGGAGCCAATGTAAGCATTTCTTGAGTTCACCAAAAGAAGCCTCCCTCACAGGTGTCTAGTAGGAGGCCTTTGCAGACTTTATCAGGCTAGTGGGAGGGTGTCACACACCTTCATAGTGTATAGAAAACTTTAAGCATATTGTTTTGTTATAATGGAAGGGGATTGTGAGTACTAGCAAGACTATGAGGCAGATAAGGCGGTTTTCCCATATTAAGGTGGCAATGTGCAGTTATCCCTTCCACATTAGTTTAGGGGCACAGCACCCCTGTAATCTGGAAAATCTGCATACAAATTTTTGGCCCCACCTTCATCAGAGAAGTCTGGATTATTATGCTATTAAAAGATAAAATATGTTGATATTATATGATACTACACATATATTCTATGCATTTTTGAGTTTCTAAACTTTTTCTATCTCATCTGCTGGCCTTCATGTGTCATCTGCGGCTTCCACAAAACTCCCCCCCAAAATTCCCGTTTAGTTTCTTATGCTGACTCATGACATAGCAAAAACGTGCTGGGGAAAGTCATAGTGGAAGGTATAACTAATTTGAAGTTGGAAGGTCTGATCCTGGTTCTGCCACCAATTAGCTGAGCAGGCATTAGCAAATTATCTAACTTTTCTGAAATTTAGTTTCCTATCTATAAAATGAAGGGTTTGATCCCTAATGTCTGTGAGTGAGAGGTGTGGTCATCTATGGTTCTGATATCCTAGAACTAGGGGTTTTAAAATTTTTCCTCTGGGGAAGGAAGAAGAATGAGGTAGAACCTTGAGTCCCAGTTGGCGATATGCGATTGGGGGTTTGTGACCTGGTTCAATTTAGAAGTAGTAAGCACAGCATCAGCCTCCTCTTTTAGATCCTTCCTCCTTCTCTCACTCTTTTTCCATCTGGTGGCTGAGGGAGAAGGAACCTCATGGCCCCCTCTTCTCTCAGCGACTAAAGAGGTTAGAAACTTAGTGGGTCTCCTCCAGCTTTTCCTTTTTCCAAGGTGATAACTTTAACAGCAATGTCCTGGCTTCACTCTAGTGCTCTTCCTCTTGTTTGATCTTCCTTCTGGTTAGTCATGGTGCAGCAGAAGCTTTTGGGGGTTCTAGTTCAAACTTGCTATTTGATCTCACTCTCTTCCTTTTTGTTTGTCAATTTCTCCTGTCCTTTCCCTATGTTGAACAAAAGACTTAGAGTTTAGTTTCACTTCTATCTTCTCCCCATCATATCACCCTCAAATGTTGGGAAGTCAATGTGACTCCATATGTAGGCAGGCCCCACTGAGCTTAGTCATTACTGATTAATTTGTATGCTCACCAGTAAACTACCAGGCCCCCTTAATGGTCCATTTGCTTGGTAGTTAAAATTATATCATATCTGTACTTATTGCCATTTTGAGAGTTTTTTTCTACATGCATAAAGTGATGGCAGAGCCTATACTTGCAAACCTGTGTAGTATTCTAATATTTCCCATAAAACTTCTTTCTTTTCCAAACAAAATTTGTTTTCTGGGATTCAGCTTTATCAGTTCCCTATGTCCATTGCCCCAAGGACCCCCAGAATACTAGCTTTCAGAAGATTTGGGGTTACAAGCAGACTTTGATAAGAGTTGCAGAGGATGCTGAGAGCATCTTCCTCAGTTTCCCCTTTTTCTGTCAGGTTGGTAAACAACATATAAGGTAAAGATGTTCTGCAGTGGATGACCTCTACCTCCATGAAAGACCTGTAGCAGGTCCTCAGGCTTATGAGATACTACTGGCATTTCATACTCAGGTTCTGTGCTTTGACAGCCCCTCCCTTTGAAGCATTGCAGTTATTTCCAGTGAGCAACAGAGGAGGGGAAGGGTATATTTAATGACCTGAAGAACCTAGTTCACCTGAGACCTGATCTTGATGTATTTGAATCTGTAGAACAGTTTATCTGAGAGACCAACACAGCTACCATTAGCATAGGAGCATCCTCTCATAGACCATTTCACCTTTTTCCACTGACAATTGATTATTGCTAAAAACAGCTATGTACACTTTAGGAAAGATGCTGATTGCAATCAAAGCAATATTTGAAGCATAAAGACTCCATTCTGAGGGGGTCTGCTACCTTCTTATTGTCCACATATGAATAAGACCCTCAAGTCCTTTTAGCCCACTTGACAGCTATATTAATGACAAATTTGTTGAGTATTACTGTTTTTCGGTAGTTCAACTTCATTATTATCACCTACATTCATAGGCATTACAATTGGGTGGTAATGATAATGATGGTAATAATAGTGTTTAAATGATGTTTTAAGGTTTGCAAAGCACTTTCCATATTCTATCTTATTTTATCCTTATGACAACCCTAGGAGGTAGGTATAATTATGGTTCCCATTTTACAGATGAGGAACCTGAGACAGACAGCCAAAACTTGCCCAGCGTGATGCAGTTAATAAGAGTCTGAGGCCAATTTGAACTTAAGTCATCCTGACACTAGATCCAACAAGCTATCTACTGAACCACCTAACTGCCCTGTCATCAAAATACAAATGTGCATGCCTGAGAGATCAGTTTCAACAGGCCCTTATACAGAACATTGACTTTATACAGAACATTTACTGGTAAACAGAGCTATGAGAACTTATCAGCCAGAAAGCAGGATCAATATGCCTACACTCCAGTTTACTTGTCTACTCTTCAAGAAGAAATGTTGCCCACAACTGAGGAAGGATCCATCTTGAATAGGCTCTGATTACTCTTACATGACCTCTTCTGTCAAGGCTTAATAAATGATACTCTAACTCTGCTAGGATGACCTGGTGTTGTTGTTCATGACTTTTTGTAGCCATACCTATGATACAATCTTAGTTGGCACGTCCTATCATATCAAATATATATTTGGGCTGCAGACCTAGTAGATGAGCTAGGTAATAGGCCTGCCTCTCATTCTACACTTATTACTTCTCTGAAAAAGGGGGAGGTATGTTTCATTATCAGTACTTTGGAATCAAGATTGGTCACTTCATTGATTAGAATGATGATATCTTTCAGTGTTGTTTTTTTTTACATTGTTGTTGTTGCTTGTCCTTCATTCTCAAAGAGGACCATGACATCATGGAGGTGATGCCATGACATGAAAGTGAATTGGATTTAAGTGAGGGAGGGCTGTGCAGAGTCACCAGCTTCACTTGGTTGTTGTGTAGATGACCCTTTCCCTCTAAGGTGACCTCCCAGCTGCTCTGTATGTATCTTGTATATACCTATTTATTTATTAATTTATTTTCCCCATTAGAATGTGAAGACTTAGTCAAGTGCCTAGCCAATAGAAAACACTTAATATTATTGACTGTGTAGAATATTAATTGCAAATTAATATTAATTGAATACCAATTGTTTTGAATATTAATGTTTGAATATTGACTGTGTTCTTGATTCTTCTTACTTCACTGCATCAGTTCATAAGTTTTCCCATATTTCTCTGTAGTGTTATTTGTAGTTTTTCATTGTACAGCAATATTCCATTGTATCTATATAACACAACAAAATGGACATTTCAGATCACACAGAACACAATGTTTCAAAACATAGAAAGTAAGTGGTTTTATTACAGACAGTTCAATAGGGAAATGGGGATGAGAGAACTTTCTGTTTGACTTAGCAGTGAGGCAAAAGATGTTTCAATTCTCTGATTTAAGCCTATTCCCAAGCCCCACCTTTTTTTGGTCACCGTGAGGTTCTTTCCCCTTATTCAATTCTTTATCTCTCTCATTTAAGGAAGAAATTTGAGTTACAAGAAGATGAGACCAAAGCATCCCAGATCTCTGTCATTCCCAGTGCCATAGCAACCAAACCGTCCTTGTCTACCTGGGCTGTAACTTAAAATATTTAGGGGTAGAGGGTTGGGAGCCTTGAAAGTTCTGCTTTTCATTCTGTTCACTTATTGACAACATCCATGGATTTGGAGGCTTCTATAAGTGTACACACTCTGGAAAGCTGTGGGTGAGATTTTCTGCTTTGTTAAGGTACATCAGACTGTACCCAGAGCACCAGTTGCTCACTTCCCTCCCAACCTACTTAAAGATGTCATACCCTAGACTTTAATTAATATGTACCATGTTAGTCTTCAATGTTTAATGTATTTTTAAAATATATTTAACAAACATTAAGCTAAAAAAGTTGTCTTTGACCATAGCATTTGTTTCTCCTCTAGCTGTAGTCTTTGGTATTTTTACCTCCTCTTTATCCTCACTGTTTTCCATGTCTGTAGAATACAGGATCTGCCCAGAGCAAATATAGTTCAAGTGATTTTACAAACATAGACCAGACATAAATGGAATAAAAAGAGAAAATTAAATCCATTAAATTTCTGTCAAGACCATCACCTAGTTACCAATTGTCCAAATTTAATTTCCTTTAGGCCCTGGGCACAAACAAACATAGATGCTAGTTGTAACATTTGTGTTTTTGAAATCTGGGGAATTGTGAGTTTTGTTCTTAGTCTTTGTATCCCTGGAGACATTGACTTTATTTTGCTCCATTTTCTTTCAGACAGAAGAAAGGAGAAAGTTATTCTCAATTATGTATCTCATAGTCAACCTGGCATTCTTGATTTCAACAATTTTCATGCCCCTGCTCAGAGGTCAGTATTGGCTTACCAGGGAACTGAATGGGGTGGAATGTCTTTGCCATGATCTCTTGCAGGGCTCTTAGAAAAAAGGTTGTGTGAGACAATCAATAGAATGCTGTATTTGGAGTCAGAGAATATGGGGTCATATCCTAGCTCTGACATGCACTGGTTGTATGACCTTGGACAAATCATTTAACCTCTCTGAGCCTCATAATGAATGAAATAAGGAGGTTGGACCAGAAAATCTCTAAGGTGCCATCTAGCTCTAAATCTATGATCTGAGGTGATATTGTTCTGAGAAGCTAAGCTGGTTCAGCCTGTGGTAGACTTTGGCAAACTTAAATGCTCAGGAGTATCCTCACTTTAACTAATACAGATATTCCAGAAAAGTTGCATGTTAGTTGAATTTTGGGAAACTGATTCATATTTGACATGAGGCATGGCACATAATAAACAATGAATGCTTATTGATTGATTGGCTAAAGGTACCCATGTTGAAGCTTTTTGAAAATGAATAATTTTGCCCTGATTAACTTATTAAACTAATCAATTCATTATTGTTTTTAAAGTTAATACTTTCTTAAAGCAAGGAACACTTTTAATAAGAAAAGGATAAAAATAATTCATGCATTATTTATGTGCATAAAGTTGAATAGTGTTTTATCTTTATCTTTATACCATTCTCTACCTTATGGGATTTTTTACAAAAAAATCTTTTTTTTTCTATACGGGGATGCAAATAAGAAATGATAAAAATTATTTAAACTATAGTCTTGTATTTCTACATCTACACTCTGGACATTTTGATTTTTATTGATTTTATTAATATATTTAATGGGCATGGTAGAAAAATACTGTATGGGGAGTCAGGAAACTTGAATTTCTGCTTCCAACTTTGCCCTTAAATTCACTCTGTGTAGGGCATTGGGCAAGTTACTTCCCACCTCAGACCTTCAGCTTCCTCATCTGGACAATGAGGGGACTGGACTAGATGATCTCTGAAGTGTCTTCTAATTCCTGGATCCCATGATCCAATGGTCAAAGGTATTAATAGATTCTCATTGAAAGGAGTATAAGACAAACTGGGACAAACTAAAATTTTTACTAAGCTGGCTTTAAAGGAGAGCTATAACCTGGTTCACTTCCACAAAGGATTAATGAAAAAGACTAGACAAATCACAGACAATTTGAATATCTTTTGGAATATGCAATATGCTTGTTATGTTCAGAGGTTCATGATGCCATTTTTCAATATGTATTCTACTGGAGTATCTGTGGTCAAAATATCTTTATCTATTCTATTGATCCTGGAAAGCATGTCCAGTTCAACAGGGTGTTGTTGGGGCATTTTTTTTTTTTTGGTGAGAAATAACTGCATGCCAAACTAGAAAAGTGCCAAGGAAAGGGGAGTTTCTGCTGTACGTTATAGAGAGATAGGAGGTCAGAATGGAAAGCAAAGAGGTAAACATGATTTTAACCTGGGGATCTAGACCAATATCAAAGACTTGTAGTGGTTCCTGGGATTTGCAGTATACCACTATGGATTTACCACAGTCTTCTTTTCTCTGTAGTTCCCCCAACAACCCTAATCAGAGAAAATGTAGTGTTTGATGTTGTTCCCCTCTTGACCTATACTGTTCTTTTATGTTAGAATTCAGGACTTCAAATGCAGTTGTCAGGGCCATTTTATTCCAGATAGAACTGTAGTTCAATGTTATCTTGTGCTATCTTCTCTTTGAGCTTCTTGTTGGAAGCATGCACCTACCCATCCTGGGAGAAGGAACTCTCAACAATGAAAGGTGATGAAACCACCATAGAATGTGACCACTTTAACCTGGAATATCAACAAACAGACTAAAAACTAAAAGTCAGTGATAGGGCAGGTATTCATGTGTCATGTCCAGGTTGACTCCTTACCTGTCTTCTAGTACCAAACTCTTGTAGCCTGAAATCTGGACCTTTCCTCAGATCAGCCCTGCTGCTTGCTGTGGATTGTTTGTTTTCATCCTCATTTTATCTCCTACATTGCCTTTTAATCTCTGGCTCTTTCCAGGCAATAGACCACTTCCATTGCTTCCTGTTATCTGGAGACAGCTTCCCCAGCTCCAGATCAGGGTTTGGCTAGCACCATGAACCCTGCCTAACCATGATCACTGCCTGGTCCTCCTTCCATTCGTTCTCCCCTGGCAGTCAGGTCACATGAAGCAGTACAGATAGCACATTTTAGAAAGAACACTGACAAACTGGAACATGTTTATAGGAAGGCAGCCAGGATTGTAAGAGGATCCAAAACTTTTGCCATAAATTGGTAGAAGGGATTAGGGATGGTTAACCTCTATAAAAGATGCTCCACAGGAGGTACATTGCTACTATTGTCACCCTGAAAAGACAACTTGGAGGGTAGAACCAGGACCAATGAATTTGTAGAAGTTCCAAGGAAGCAGATTGTGGGTCAACATAAAGAAAAACTTCCTGATAATTAGGGTTGTCCAAAAATTGAATGGGTTGCTTTCCTAGGAAGTAAATTTCCCATTACCAAGTCTCTAAGTGAAGGCAGAGTAACCACTTGTCAGGGATATAGTAAAAAGAATTTAACCTTTGGTTGTGAGTTGGACTAGTAAGATGATTTCTGCAGCCCTTTCCAACTCTGCAATTCTAATATCTTATGATTCTATGATCATTTACAATAGACCTTGTGATCTGTTAAAATTTCTAAGATTATCTCTAAGAATTATTGACAAAAAAATGGGGAAAGAGAATGTGGAGAATCACACTTAACTCTTGGCATTCTGTGCTATCCTAGTCCTGTGGACATCTTGGAATCATTAGTGTGGAATGGAGGTATGTGTCCAAATACCAAAGATAATTATATACATTTTGATTGGAGGCTTCCTGGTGGAATTTTGGGAAACACTTGTCAGAGTTGGGAATATGTGTGCGCACACACACACACACACACACACACACACATATAGAGAGAGAGATATTTAGATATATAGATTGCAACAGGTCATAGACAATAGGGCAAGTAATTAGCATATGGAGAAATGAGGCCAAGTTGCTATTTTTGGAGAGGTGAAAGGCATGAGGGCAAATGAAGCTAAACATTCCTGTATTGTTGATGAGTATTGTTGAGTGTCACAGGTTATGGACACAGGGTTAGAGCAAATCTATGAGTTAAGAACAAGGTGATAAACTGTAAGTCAGGGCAAAATAAAGTGCAAGCTTTGGATCAATCAGAAGATTGGAAGCTAGGAAGGCAGGGAAGGAGGCAATAACCACTGTGGGGGAGAGCAATGTGGGAGCTCCAAGGGAAGGCAAAAAGTCAGGAAATCAAAAAGCTAAATAATGTTAAAGCATGTTGAGGATTCAAATATTCATTTAAACAACTAAGAATCAAGGGCATTTGAAGAAAATGAAATAGCAGGTCAAAATAAGTAGGGATATAAACTCAAGGTACCATAATTTAAAAAAAAAATTTTTTTAAGAAAGGGACAACTTCAATAACTGAAGCAAATTTTCTGCTTCTTTTAGATCAGAGCTTTTATATGTTTCCTGTGTTAGACCTCATTAACTCCCAATATGGTCTATTAATTTTGTGCCTGTATGTATTTTGTGTCCTGTATGTATTTATCATTTATTTATGAACATATTAGATTCTCCTAGTAGAATGTGTACCTTAGAATCCATCATAGAATGTAGAACTAGAACATTAGAGATCATCTAGTCCAATGCCTTCATTTGACAGAGAAGGAAACTGAGGCCTGAAGAGGTAAAGTAACTTGCCAGTGTTCCACAGCTCCCAAGTACCAGAGCTGTGATTCAAAACGAAATCTTTGACTTTCAATCTAGTGTGGTTTTTCTCATCATTATCCTTTACTGCCTCAGATGCTGAGTTATTATTACTTCATTATGGGAAGATTTTCCCTAATAAGGACCTTCCATTTTCAAGGTCACTAATGCTTAAATGTTTTGTGTTGTGTATGTTTGAGAGTGGTAGAGATAAAGTTGATAGAGATAAAAATCTCTCTCTAAGAGGGTGTGATGGAAAGGAGTGCACCAACCAACCAATCACCACCTGTAGTTCTATGAGGTTGAGCCGTGGGAAGTAAAGGGAAATGAGTACTGGGATAACTCTCCCTTATTTTTGCTCTCTGTAGCTGACATCAGCTGCTTTGGAGGAGATTGTTACATGCTTGTCTTTGGGGTCTCTGGATTATTTCAACTGTCTGCAGTGGGTAAGTTGGGTCACATTGGGGTAGTAGTGAGGGGAGTGGTGCTTATTTCCAAGAATTGAGGAGTGCAAAGAAAGCAGCAAGGACAGCTACCTGAATAAAGCAACAGTAGTAGTCAAGACTTCTGAATTCCCACCCTGAGAAAGTACTTTCTCATCCAAGTCTTTTATTTCTTTTATTTTCAATTGACCAGCAGTTATTTTCTTTCCTCATCTTCCCCTAGTCCCTAAAAAGAACTAAAACCCTTGTAAGAAATGTGCAGTCAAGCAAAACAAATTCCTACATTGACTATGTAACAATGTATGTGTCATTCCGCATCTTGAGGACATCTCCTCAAGATATCCTCTTGGGTGAGTAGTGTTTTTAATTGTCAGTCTTCTGCAAACATGGTTAGTCATGGGATAGATCAGCATTATTAGACTTTTCAAGTTGTTTTTCTTTTTCTTATTATTATTTTTACATTTTAAATTAACTTATTTTTAGTTTTCAATATTCACTTCCATAAGCTTTTGAGTTTTCAAGTTTGTCCCCTTCCCTTCCCTCACCCTTCCCCAATACAGCGTGCAATCTGATATAGGCTTAACATATACATTCATATTAAACATCAAGTTGTTTTTCTTTACAATGTTTTGCTCTCCTATTTCAGCTCCCTTCAATCTGTATCAGTTCATATGTTTCCCAGCTTTCTCTGGAACCATCCCTTTCATTATTTCTCATGGCACATTTTCCATTACACGCATATAGCATAATTTGTTAGTAAGTGACAGAGTTGCTACTTGGCACCTCTTTCTGCTCTCTGCACAAGGTAGGGGCCCTCTGTACCAGATCTGGGACCTATGCACAGATGAGGCAGTCCCCAAGCTGGAAGGCTCTTTGTAAGGCACTCCTGGCTAAACCCTGTCCCCAGTGTCTGCAGGCCTCTCTGTCTCCCTATGCTGACCTGGGCTAGAAAAATTGACTCACTAATTTTTTTTTCTTAGATTTCCCAATCAGGAATCAATGTATGTGTTTTCTAGATCTTTGCGGTGTATAGTTTGGGTCTACTTTATTCTTCTGGTCTGCCATCTTGACTTGTCTCTTCCCCTGAGTCTTAAAGACTTTAAGGAGAGTCACTGTGACCCAAATCCATTTTTCCATATCTCCCAGATGAACAGGCCCAGTGAATTATTCACCAACAAGTATAGAAAATTCTCTAGAAATAAGAATAATGGTTTACCCTGTAAAGACTTATATGAACTGATGCAAAGTGAAATGAGTAGAACCAGGAGGACATCGTACACAGTAACAGCAATATTGTAAGATGATCAAATGTTAATGACAGCAATTTTCAGCAATATGATGATCCAAGGCAACTCTGAAGGATTTATGATGAAAAATGTTATCCATCCCCAGCGAAAGAACTGATAGAGTCTGAATACAAATTGAAACACACATTTTTTTTAACTGTCTTTATTTTTCTTTTTTTTTGGTCTATATTTTCTTTTACAACATGACTAATATGGAAATACATTTTACATAACTACATGTATAACCTATATCAAATTGCTTGCCTTCTCAATGAGGCATGAGGAGGGAGGGAGAGAATTTGGAACTTAAATTTTTAAAAACTAATGTTAAAAATTGTTTTTACATGGAATTGGGGAGAAGTAAAATACTAAATGAATAATTGAAAAAGAATAATGGCTTACAATATATAGGACTTTATAGTTTACAAAGCACTTCTCTCACAGTAAGACTGAAAACAACTTACTTAAATCAAAACAAGTTGAATTTCTGGGGTCTATGTAACTCATTTTTATAGAATCTCCCTAATATGTTTTTTTCCTAACATGTTTTTACTGGTATATATTCAACCCCAGGTATAATATCAAGATTACAGATACCATATAAATGTTAGTGGGAAAAAACAAATCCCTCAGCATCAGAACACTTGAACCATGGGATGCTGTATAAATCTGAGTTATTATTTTTGTTATTCTTATGTGATCCAATATTACTTAAAACTCATGCCTATCCCAAGAGCCAAAGAACTGTAACTCTGGCTCTGCAAATTCAAATTAAGGGAGTAGAAACCAAGTCCTTCTCAAGAGAGTATGCTAGATTCTTATTCAGATGCAGCAAAGGTGAATGAGCAGAATGGGTATGTGGAGCTAATGAAAGGGATTTAATGTGTTTTCCATTTCACACGTGACACGTATGGACCTGTCTACCTCAAATTCCTACTCTTCCAATAATTCTGAGAAATTCTATGTACTTCTTTTCAGTTGTGTTCTCATTTGGAAGTGAGATGTACAAAATAATTCCTCCAGAAGGAGACATCATACTTAAAGTCTGCAAATGCATGTGGGTGAGTCATTATATTTTTAAAAATCCTTTTTTCCTATTTTTAAATTGAAAGGTAATAATTATAGTGGTTTGACTGGTTCATATTTAAGATTTCATTGGTGTAGGAAACCCCTAGTAAGGAAATTCCTTTTATTAAAACAGAACCTCAACTATCTTTGATTTATAGTCTTAGAGATTAACCTAGAGTACTAAGAGGGTGTGACTTGTCCAAGGTCACATTGCCAGTGTTAGAGACAGGACTTGAACAGCAATTTTCCAAACTCAGACTGACTCTTTATCTACTACATGTTACCACTCAGTATTAGGATCAAAGAGCTGTAAACATCATTACATATTTTATTTTTCACCTCATGACTCTTGGGGATTGTTTCCTAGCTATCCTTTTTTGCCAAGTTAAAGCTGGCCTTACCTCTCTGCTTTAATATCTTTAATCAGGCAAAACTCTTTTATCACATCCTGGTTGGACAAGATATTGTTCAGAGGAACAGGGATAGACATAATAACCCCTGGAAGATGCTGAAATTTTATAACTAATCTGACTCTGGGAATGATCATAAATCATAGATGGATCATAAAATCATAGAAGATAAATGTATGCTCACTCTTTCTGTGGTGGCAAAGAATTGGAAATTGAGGGGATGCCCATCAATTGGGGAATGGCTGAACAAGTTGTGGTATATGAATGTAATGGAATACTATGGTGGTATAAGAAATGATGAGCCGGCAGATTTCAGAAAAACCTGGAAAGACTTGTATGGTCTGATGCTGAGTGAAGTGAGAAGAACCAGGAGAATGTTGTACACAGTAACAGCCATTTATGCAATGACTGACTTTGATAGACTCAGCTCTTCTCAGCAATGCAAAGACCTAAGACATCTCCAAAAGTCTCATGATGGAAAATGCTATCCACATCCAAAGAAAGAACTATGGAATTTGAATGCAGATCAAAGCATACTATTTGCTCTTTTTTTCTTGTTTTGTTTTGTTTCTTCTTTCTTGTGGTTCCTCCTATTGGTTCAATTCTTCTTTACAACATGACTAATGTGAAAACATGTTTAATAGGAATGTGTATGTATATTGCACACCATCTTGGAGAGAGAGGTGAAGAGGGAGGGGGAAAAATTAAAACTCAAAAGCTTATGGAAGTGATTGTTGAAAACTAAAAATAAATAAATTAATTTTAAAAAAAGATAAATATATGCTCTAGGGAGGAAGAGTATATAAGGGTAGATTTCTTCTCATGATCTTCTGCTTTTTTCCAGTTTGCTATTTCAAACCGTCTGAAGAACCGCTCCAGTGATATTCCAAAGAGAGAGCATTGGCTGGACTGGGCAGCTGAAGAGTATCCAGTGAGTCATGATTGTAGGCTTAAGTTGTCTATCAGCAGTGAAGACTGTGTCGTGAGAGCTGAACTTCCTCTGTCCTTCATCTCAAGAAGCTATTTTCTGGTGGCCTGGGAGCAACTCTCTCTGCTCCCAGGACTTTTTTTGGCCATCATTCCTTATATGTCCAGGTGCTCCATAATTTTCCCCACCTTCCCCCCATGATAATTTAGTGTAGATCAAATCAGACAACTGCAGACTGTGATGGAGTTGGTATATGACTATTTATATGGTTAGTATATGACTATGTGACTGGATGCTTGAAGGGTTTCCCTAATCATTGTGGCCAAGAGGTATAGTCTTGGAGCTATAGAAAAAATATAGTCAGTTCCTAGTTGGTCCCCACAAGACAGGAAATAGCAGAGTTACCATGGAAAACCAAGGAGACTCAGATATAACGGGGCATGAACATCTCAAAATGGAGTACAGGTAAGTCTTCTGTGCTGAATAGAAACCCAGTCATCCTGGGGACAGCAGTCTGAGAAAGACTTGGTTAAAAAAAAAAAACAAACAAAAGTCTAAAAAACGGACATAAGCCCACATCATCTTAGCTCATTTCTTCCCTGGTTTCTGCATAGGATTGTCCCTCATCTCACCCAGAAGCAAGGAGTTCTTTCTGTTTAGAAGGATATCTAGAGGAGATTACATAGACTTATTTACTTCACTGCTTCCATTGTTAAAGTTCTTCCCAATGTCCAACTTAAGTTTTTCTGACTGAAAATTTGATTCTGTTCTCTTACTACTCTGTAGTCCTTGTGCTCTGTATACAGGTTCCTAAAGTGGAACTTTTGGAAGCTCATTTGTCTTCTTTCTCTTATTTCCTGCAGAAGCAACTCATCTTAGAGGTGAAAGCACTGACTCGTGTGCTGTTCCTGTACATCCCATTGCCAATGTTCTGGGCTCTTTTCCATCAACAAGTAAGAAAGTTTCTGAAAGTGATTTCTGTCTAGACCTTACTCTTACTAGCTTTCCTTCCTATCTTTGTTATGGGGAGAGAGATGGGTTCTTCCAAAGTTGGAATAGATTCCCCAAGTTGACAGAATTGAAGTGAAACCAGTGTAGTACTTATTTCTTAATAGAACCAGTTCTGTGTGCATACACCTCCTTTCTATGAGGACTGGGAATGACATAACTTCCACAGTTTACCATTTGTTTACTTACTGGTAACAACCCTAAAGGTAAGTCAGGAGGACATCAGAAACTATCTCCCCAGGTATTGAGGAGTCATTGTATTTCCTATTTGGGATAAAAGAACTACCCTAACCCTCAGCCTATCTTGGGCTGCCCTTAGTATCTCTGGGACAACTCACTATTAGAAGAGGACATGGAATGGAATAATTCTGATGAAGCAGAGAATACATTATGCAATATGTAAAAATAGTCTACACATTCTCCGAAATATTTCCCTTCCCTCTAGAAATAACCCTTGTTTTAGTCCTATAGGATAAGAAATGTAGGTGAATGGAGGACTCTTTTTTAAAGGAAAGGCAAAATGCAACTGGAAACTTAGGGTTTGGGCTTAGCTGGAGCCTCTATTGATTAATGGGGTAGACAACAAAATACAGTGGAAAGAGTACTGAGTCAGAGGATGTAGGTTCAAATCCTGACTCTGACACTTATTGCCTGCATGACCTTGAGCAAGACACTTAATGTTCCTGACCCTTACTTTGCTTATCTGACAAAATGAGGGAGTTGGATTAGATGGATTTTAAGGTCCCTTTTAGCTGTAAATGTCAATGATGTGGTCCAATACCCTGGAAAAGTCTTTGGTAATGATTACATGCCCTTTATATTACATAGATGAGGAAACAGGTATAAAAATTGAAATTTTATGCTGGAGAATCTTTGGCTGAACCTTAAGAGGCTTCCAGACATCCTAAACCCAATTTAGCACTTTTCCCAGAAGATCAGACTGCCTGATTTCTTCATAGGAGCCCAGCACTAACTTTCCAGATGATACCCATGTGACCAAGGCTTGAGTCCTATCAAAAGGGAGAAAATGAGATGAAGCATTCACCCAAGCCCACAGAGGGAAAGGCTCCAAGTACCCTTTACATCTTTTGCTTTGCTTAAGCCCCCCCTTTCCTCTCTAAAATATCATTTCCTTTCACTCTCAATGATTTTAAGAAAGGAAGAGGAGGTTCTTCCTACCCATGAGGTAGGTACAGTTTCTAATGATAAGGAAAAAATGAGATGAGGAAGAGGATATGGGGAATGGGAAAGTGAGGGGAGGAGAAAGAGGAGAAGCTAGGAGACGTTCATGGAATGAGGGACTGATACCCTCCTCATCCTGTTTGTCTCCATGAAGCTTGTGCTTTCTCCCCACAGTGTATGAAAGTTCTCACACCGGCATCTCTCTGCCCTAGGGCTCTCGGTGGACTCTGCAAGCGACCAGGTTGAATGGCAATATGGTGAGTAGTCAATTCTCAATATTTATTCTGTAAATTTTTTCTATCCATTTTTGTTTTAGTTTTTAAAAATTTATTATTTTATTTTTCAAGTAATATATATTTTTAATTAATCTGTCCCTGCCACTACCCCCTCCCTCATTGAACAAAATTTTTAAATCTCTCAATACATATCTACATAGTCCAACAAAACAAATCTCTGCATTAAACCATGTCTGAAAATGTATGCCTGCATTTTAAGTTCATCATCTCTCAGAATGTGGGTGACATGTTTTATCTTCATTCTCATGGTTTGTCACTGTGTTGGTTACAGTGCTAAAGTTTTTCTAAGTTGTTTTTCTCTATAATGTTATCACTGCACATACTGTTCTACTAGTTCTGCTCACTTCGCTTTGCAAAATTCATAAAAGTTTTTCCAGTTTCCTCTGAAATTGTTTCATTATTTCTTATGACACAATGATATTCTACTACATTCATTTACTACAATTTGTTAACCATTCCTCAATAGGAGGATAACCTTTAGTTTCCATTTTGGGTTTACTTATTCAATCTTTTCTCCCACTACTACCTAATATGAACCCCCCTATTCTAGGTTCTCTGTTCCTCAGTTAGTAAATAGAATACATACTGACTCTAGGTGCAGCTGCTGTCTATGGTGCTGAGACGGATTCCCCTTCAAGCCTTTCTTCTTCTGGATGCAACAAGAGGGAAACACTTCTATCCCAATCTCATTCCACCCCAGGTCCTGTAGAAAACAGTTTAAGTGGTTCAACAGTCCCACCTGTCCTGTTAATGAAGGAAGGAAGAAAGGGGGAGAGGTGGTCCTGGAAGATTATCTAGTCCTATTCTATCATTTAGAGATGAGGAAAAAGACTCAGTAAGATAAAGTGACTTGCCCAAAGTTGCATAGCTATTTAGGGGCACAAATAGTGCTGGAACCTATTTCTCCTTACTCTTAATCTAGTATTTTTTCCTGTACACTATGGCACTGCAACCTGAAGTAGATTTCCATGTATTGTCTTGACTCATTTTGATACTTCATCCTATTGTATCTTGGGTTGTTACCTGTCTCATTCCTGTGTTACTTGTCTTCCCAACAATATTGGAAACTTTCTAGGATTGAGAACCACAGTTTAGACATCTTTTGTTTATTCCAAATCACTCAGCACAGTTCTGAGTACTAAATATGTATTTGTTTAATTGAAGTGAATTTCCCCTCACTTAGAGATATTTAAGCAGATCAATTCAATGATTTTACCTGAACACAGAAGCCTATTGACCCATCCTATTCATCTATCTCTAGCATCATGTATTTACACCATGAATGTCTGCAAAATATATTACTGTAGCAGTCTCAGAAGCAATCTCATTGGTGCAATGACAGAAGATAGGCCCTTAGAGAAGCAATGTATTTCTTAATATTCATAGTCAAATTGAATCAGAAATCACTTCTTCTGAGTTTGGAAAAAGTTTAGAACCCTCTTGCCTCAAGCATATTCACAAGCTTTTTTTGGTCCCATTCACACTGATCAGTGCTAATCCCTCACTATGGATATGTCATACTGCTCTATTAGATTGTGATATTCTAAAGTAGAAACCTTTTATTATGCAAACTCGATGTATCCCTCTGCTTCTAAGTACAGTGTTCTGAGTAACATAAGCACTTAATAATAATAGTTAGCATTTACAGAGGGTCTTAAGATTTAGAAAATACTTTCCATGTATTATTTAATTTGATCCTCATAACAACCTTGTAAGATAGGTACTTTTTGTTATTCCCATTTTAAAGATGAGGAGATTAAGGCCCAGAGAAGTTGTGACATACCCTGTGTTACACAATTAATAAGAATTTGAGACAGGTTTCAAATTCAGGATTTTCTGATTCTATCTACTACACTGCCTAGTGGCCTTTTAATGAAGCTTAACAATTTTTGAATTGAGATACAGTAGTGCTCTCCTTATGATTCCAATATCAGTATTATCTCCCTATATCAAAGATCCTTAGAACCCCATCTAAATACAGAAGTAATAGAACAGAAAGATTGATTAGTATATTTAAATACTGCTTGATTTCTTCCTTCATTCGATTAATGAGCATTTAGTGCCTGCCATGTGGTATCATGACCTGTGCTAAGTGTTGGAGATACTAAGAAAACAGTGAAACTGTCTCTGCCTTCAATGAGTGTAATTACAGTCTAATGGGGGAAATGTATACACACGTTAAGCACATATAGAATATATGCACAATGAATACAAAGGAATTTTGGGAGAGGGTGTACTAGCAGATAGAAGAGGTAGCAAAGGTAGCATTTGAACTGAGTCTTGAAGGAAACCAGATTGCAAGAGTTGGAGGTAAAGAGGAAATATATTCCAGGTCTGGGGAGACAGATGGTACCAGGTTGTAAAAAACTTTAAGTGTCAAGTAGAGGAGTTTATTCTTGATTGTAGAAGTAACAGGGAACCACTGGAGTTTAGTGAGCAAGGGGGTAATGTGATCAGACTTTTACTTTCGGAAAATCAGTATGAGGAGTCTTGAGGCAGGCAGAACAAATATGATGCTATTGTAATAATTCTAGGAAGAGGTGATGAGATTCCTGAATTAGGGAGACAGCTGTGTGAGTAGAGACTAAAAGGCATATGCAAGGATGTTGTGGATATAGAAATGATGAGATTTGGATACTAATTTGATATGTGAGATTACTAAGAATAAGGCACTGAGGATGACACAGATTTCAAATGTGGGTGACTAGAAGGATGATGATGATGATGATGCCTTTAATAGTAATAGGGAAGTTAGGAAAAAGGATATAATTGGGGGAAAGGGAGAGAATACATTCTGGTTTAGATATATAGAGATTTGAAATACCTATGTGGCATCCTGTTGGAAGTATTCAGTAGGCAGTATATGATGTGGATTGTAGTTCATGATTTTTTAAAGGGACTCAGCATATCCTAATTCACTTGCTAATATTAACAGATAGTGTGGGTTATTGGTTTGGTAATACCTAATTAGCTGTTTCATTCTGTTTCAGGGATTTTTTGTAATCAAGCCTGATCAAGTTCAGGTAAGAATCTATACTACTACCTTGGTGTTCTACTTTCTTGCCATCTCTAAATTTACTTTGCTTAACATTTTATAACTCAAACTAAATGACACATAGTCAGTTTAGAGTAGCAAGACAGGGTTTGGGGAGAAGATTTTTATGAATGGGATCAGAAGGAAATTGGGGCTTTTAGCATTCCCTTTCAGTCTTGCTATAGGAAGTTCCAGGGTGATTTGCATGGACCCAATCTGGTGATGAGGGGTTTGGTGGAAATTTAAAGGAATGTACTTGCCCCTGCTCAAATAGCAGATTGAGTTCAAGGGAGTGGCAGGTAGTAGGGGGAAAAATCAGTTCAAAAGACAGATATAACCTAAGCCCAGTGATTTTTTTTGGAGGGGGGGGAGGTGACAGTCTGTTGCAGCTTTGGGTTTGACTCATAAAATTCTGAAATATCCTAAGGCTATGGGCTAAAAATGCTAAAACTCCCTCCCTGAAAAGAAGAGGTTATATATGCTGTTTCAATATAGGGGTTAATTCTCAATTATTTCCTAGTTTCAAAGTATCTGAGAATTGGGAGTAAAATCAGTGTGAACTGGAGAACTTCCATGTAGGGGGAGGGTTTAATTCTCTTTTTTACTCATCTCCAAATAGTTGAATGTAATGGTTTTTTACTTAAAAGGAGCAAGATTCCAAGAGAGCCATTCAGACAGACACAGTATAGTTCCTCTCCAGCTATCTCTTTGCTGCTTTCTTTTTACAAATCTTCATTCTCAAAATGACTTGTCACAACTCTTTCTAGCCAATCTAGTGTCTTCTCTCTTCCCAAATTACCAGGAGTTAAAAGAAGCATACAGACGGTGACTAATTATCTGAATGTCTCTGAGTATGGGCTTATCACTGATTTTTCTTATCTGCTGTCACAGTTGTTGAATCCCTTCTTGATTCTCATCCTTATCCCAACATTTGATTTGATCATCTACCCACTAATCAAGATGTGTAGAATCAACTTAAAGTAAGTCTTTCTTCTACTCTTCCCCTACAATGTCCTTCTGAGATATCTCTGTTTTCAGGAAGGAGTATTCCTCCCAAAGTCCATCCAGGGTGATGTGTTTCACATTGGTAAAATTCTTTAGAGAAAGAGATAATACAGATTACTTATATTCCATACAGGGTTTTTTGGTTTGTTTTCATTCTATAAATTGGGGAATAGAAATGGAAAAAAATGTGGATCCAAATTATGCAGTCAATTAAAGAAGGAAAATCAGGTATATACCCTAGCTCTACTGCTAGGCTTCTTGCATGATTGACTTGAGACAAAACCAAGAAATAGAAAAAGTTAATCTTTGGGTTCCTTCCCTGCAGGGTCTCTCTTCCCTTTCTCTTCTTTTCTCCCTCATTCCTATCAAAATTTGCTTTCAGAATATGATTTATGTCATCTACTTATGCCTTAGTATCAACTTAAGGAAAGAAGGAAACAAGCATTTATTAAGCACCTACTATGTGTCAGGCACTATGCTAAGCGTTTTACAAATATTACCTCATTTTAGACTCCTAACAATCCTAGGAGGTAGATGTTATTATTATCTCTGTTTTACAGTTGAAAAAACTGGGGCAGACAGATAAAGTAACTTGCCCAAGGTCACATAGTAAGTTTTTGAGCATTAGGTCTTCCGAGGATTATTTTCATTTATTATCTATAACTGAAGAAAGAAAGGCTTTGTTCTTTCTTAAAAGAATTTATGGCATCCAGAAATAATGAGAGATGTGGGCATAGTGGAGAATGCAGGCATTGGAATCAGTGAGACTTAGGTTCAAATCCTGCCTCACTAGCTTTCTCAGCCTCAGTTTCCTCATCTGTAAAATATGGGTTTGAATCAAGGAGGCAATTGGTGATTCATGACAGCTCATCCAGACCTAGATATACAAATTTGGGAATCACCGTCATAGAGATGATAATTGAACCCATGGGAGGTGAAGATAACATCCAGGGAGAGAAGCTGTAGAAAGAAAAGAGGGCCCAATACAGAGCTTAGGGACATTGAGTTATGGGATGGGAGAAAGGTGATGATCCAATAAATTAGTCTAGATAAGACAGGTAGTTAGGAGGAGGTCCAGGAGAGAGCATTATCCTGGGAAACAATTATGATTATTATAGAGAAATAACAACAACTATTATATAATGCTTTAAGGTTAGCAAAGTATATGTTAACTCATTTGGTCCTCACAACAACCTAGTGAGGTAGGTCTTATTCTTATCCCCATTTTACAGATGAGGAATTTGAGGCAAAGAGAAGTTCAGTGACTTGCCCAGGGTCATGTGGTTAGTAAGTATCTGAGGCAGGATTTGAACTCAGAAAAGAAAAAAAAATAATATGGGGTTGAACTCAATAACCTTTAAAGTCTCTTCGAACTGTAAATATCTATTATCTTGTGAAATTTTCAGGGGAAGATATTTTAAGGCAAGGGAACTTTCTGCAAGGAGGTGTATACAAATGTATAAAATATATAAAATGAGGGTACTTCCTGATCATACCATGTATGAAGCACTGTATATGAGTATGATGAGCTCTTGCTTCATTTTCCAACTCATCAAGTTTCTCTGTTGTGTGAAGATCTTTTATTTCTGGGACCCAATGATTTTGAGGATTTCCCCGAACAATTGATTTACTAGATATATGTCCTTGGGAAATCACTTCATTTCTCTATACCTTCTTATCTATAAAATTAGGGGAAAGGAGTAAAATGATTATCCCTTCCAGCACTAATGTTCTTTTTCATTTCCCAAGAGTTCCATTATTACATATGCAATAAGCATTCCCAAAATTTCCCTAACACAAAATCACAGTAGAACTAAGAAAGTTTTATTACATTCACTTTATGCCTTTTTATTAAGACCTTCAACATAGAAGTACCTGCATTTATAACAATAATAGTTAACATTTATGTAGCTCTCTAAAGTTTGCAAAGATCTTTATATATATTATCTTATGATCACAGTGTACCCTCAACTGAACAATCCATTTTTTTTTGGCTTGGCAGGGGGTGGGGGAGAGAGTTCATATAGAGCAGTTCCCTTTTGCATGGTCAGCCTCTGGCAAAAGCAAACTGAAAAAACTCTCAGGCTAAGGATATTATCTAAGACTCAAGTAGCTTCAGTTGTGAGTTCTAGACTTGTTAAAGGAAAAAAATTCAGGGAGAACTGCCAGTGGTGCATGTCTTTCTCTATTAAGCTTCTCAGCAGTTTCTCCCCTCAAACAGGAGCAATCTCCCCAAGAACTGGGTTATTTGCTAGGTATTTCCCCCTTATCAAACAGAGATAAATAATTCATCAGATATTTTGGAAGTTCTTTCTTCCCCACATCTTCCTGTATTTAAGAGATTGCCCGATTTAGTGCCAAGTTTATGAAAGAAGCTGGAAGTGTGTTAATACGGACCTATAAATTCTAATCTATGTTAAGTTACCATTTTACTATCACTAATAATATTATAATATGATATGGAATGACAATATATAATAGATTAACACTGCATAACATAGTTGGGGGAGAAGGGGAGAGGATGGGGGATCTGTATTTCAGTGATTTCATTTGCATAGGCAACTAATAGTATTGGCAGTAGGGGGCTTCCTAAGGCACTGACAGTAACCTGCCATGCTCTCCCAGCTACTGTAAATCAGAGGCAACAATCAAATCTAGGTGTTTCTGATTCCAAGTCTGACCATCTATCCAATATGCCAGGCTGTTTCTCAATACAATAGCAGTAATAGTAACAACAATATCAAAAACAATAACAATAATGCACATGCCTAAGAGATGCCATCCTGTGAAGAAATATAAGCAATAGGAGGAAGTATAGTATGGAGAAATATCCCTTTTGGTTAGAGAGCTAGGGATAGCCCCTCTCTATGTACACACGTATACACATGTGCATGTATACAAACACGCACATTCAATATTTTTGCCCTAGAACAGTTGAAAAGCCTGTGTGTTTTAGGAGGTGATGGAAGCCATTTGAAATAAGTTAGCATAAAGAAATATACTTAATTAAAATGATTGTGTTAAATGGTTTAACCATATTGACCCATGGTAATTTTGATTCAGTAAGGTGTGAACCTTTTAAAAAAGTCAGAGATTACTGGACCTTGCTAAGCTATACACTCAACAACAGTTAGTACATACTTCATTGGAACCATATGAGACAGGTACATTGATATCTAATACCTCTGCTTTTAAAAGCAGAAAGTCAGAGAAATCTGAGTGAAACAGGGTATGACAAGGAGGGTATTTTAGTTTATTGTTTGGTTGATGTGGAGGATTCACTTTTCCTGATGTGGCCTAGGCAAAATCTATGTCGCATTAAGTGTAACTGCCTTTTCATGGGCTACTCATTATGGTCTTTCATCCCATGGATTCTTTTCTCCATCCCTCTGCAGACCCATTACTAAGATGGTCATTGGAATGATACTAACAGCCTTGGCATTTGTTGCTGCAGCCATTCTACAGTTTAATGTGGATGTAAGTATAGACCATCATAGTGCCCAGAACCCTAGGGGTTACAGGGATAAGAAGGGAACAGCCCATTGTTTTGAGTTTAGAATTTTTCTACTAATTGTAGAAAACAGTTCCTTTAGTTGTACACCTTGAAGTGCCAATTAGCATAATCTGTTTGTCAGATTATGTAGTAAACTGTTTTGTATCAGCTGGGTACAAAGTGAAAATATCCCATATAATCACTCAAGTCACAGGTCTGTGGATTATCTATCTGGACCATCCACACCTCATTGTTTAAGGTAACCCTTTTGTGAGAAAATCTATTTAAATAGGAGTTATTTAATGATTTACTTGGAGTCTATAAGAGGAAGCCTGCTGTGCTGGGTTGATTGATTACATCTGTTAATCTTTCTTTGTGAGTTTTCCTATGTCCTTTTTGTGTGTGTGTTCCCTTTTTCCACATTATATAGCTAAGGTCCACATGAGTAGGAATTGGGTTTTCTCTATGAACTCACCATGTCTAGTACAGTTTTCTACGTAAAGCATTAGATATAAGAAACATCTCAGTTATCTGGAGATTAGCCTTCTAGCAGCCGAAAGAATATGAACAGTTGTGAATAGAGAAGTAAAACTAAATTTTCATCAGTGAGGACAGAACCTATAAAGAGCCAAAATAGCTAAAGAGAGCTCGATCACCAATGGTTCTAATATTCTACACAACACAGTAAGATTGGTCACACAGTGAGATTTGTTGACCAGAAAGGAGTATTCTAATTGACTAGTGATGGCTGTAAAAGTCAGTCCTTTCAGTTTGAAAGCCAAGAAGCTCAGGAAAAACAGCAGAGAAAGAAGGATTTTATGTTAAAAAAAAAAAAAGAAAAAGGTGAAATGGCAGATAGAAACCTTGATGGAGATTAAGAATGCTGCTGGTGGTGGGGGTGGGGTGAGGGGAATAGACTACAGATATTGGCAGGATGAAGAAGTGAAACAACTATGAGGAGAGTCCTAGACCAGCTCTGAAGTACAAGGAGAAACACTCAGCAAGATAGTGATGGAAAGAGCATCATGGGACCAAAATAACTGGGTTCAAATCCTGACTCTGCTACTCACTGCCTGTGTGACCTTGGGCAAGGCACTTAACTTCAGTTAAGACAGTTTAGACACTGAGCTTCAGTTATCTTATATATAAAATTACATACATATATATACATAACATATATGTGTGTGCATATGTTATATATATACATAACATATATATATATATGTATACACACACACATATGTATGACTCATTTATCACTAAGGTTCCTTCCAGTTTGAAATCCTATGGAATTGCTTGCATTTCTATAGCATTTGAAGGGTTATAAGAAGTTCTGTTCCTGATTCTCTGAGATAGGTAGTGACAGTAGCATCATTCAGTAACTCCTTAGGAGCATCCTTAGATGATGCTAAAACACATCAACCTTAAGACACTTCTTTAATCTTGTGTAAGGGGGTGTTAGGCATCTAGTGAAAGGTTAGGCTAAATCCTTTAATAGCTTCATAGAGTATCTTTCAAGTAGTGCCATATGGAAGGCACTAGGACTGTTCTGAAGTTGGGACAGGAAATGTAAGAAGGGAGGGAGGATTGTACCATAGAATTCACTTGTGGTACACTGATAAAGTCATAATATAATAGAACACTTTAGGTTGGATGGTAGCATATATGCAAGAATGAAAACGTTATATTATAACATAACATAGATTTGCAAAATTCTTCCTATGTCTTTTAGAAAAGACAAAAGACTGAGTGAGCTATGGCTTAAAAAACAAAATGGAGTCATGTATAGGATGTGTATGATTTGAAAAATTTGAGCAGAGGAAATTTTTGATAGCTTGTTGAAATGTTTTTTTCCCCCAATTCTGAGTGAAATAGTTTTTTGAACACTGTCATCCCAATGCATTTGGTTAAATCTTCTCTTATCTCTTTCCATTTTTTCCATCAGAGATTTTGTTCTCTTTAGTCCTTAGAACATTATGTCAGAGTAAGCGCTCGATAAATATTAATTTACTAGATCTCCTAGATATCTTATATGGCATATCTATATGCATATCTATCTTATATATTGTTATAAAGTATCTTTCATGAGCAAAAATATCAGAGGACATTTTACTTCTTTTTTTTTTTTTGGTGAGGCAATTGGGGTTAAGTGACTTGCCCAGAGTCACACAGCTAAGTGAGCGTTATGTGTCTGAGGCCGGATTTGACTTCAGGGCCGGTGCTCTATCCACTGCGCCACCTAGCTGCCCCTTGCTTCCAATTTTATAATGCAAATCAAGATCATCAGGGACGGATCCAGGCAGATAGGAAGATAACAGATGATGAAAATATAGAACTGCTCAAATATAATTTTGCTTCTGCTTTCTTTGAATGCTCTTTAGACTGGGAAGGATAGACCAAAAAAAAGTTAGAAGGCAGCAGAGTCCAAAGATTAGTGAGGAATCTAGCTTTTCTTAGTAAGTTCAAGTTAACAAGGTCCTAAAGAATTATCTCCTTGGGTTCTGAATGACCTGACAGATGTAATTGTTGCAAGATCTTGGAGAATGGGAAAAATACACAGAAATAGAAAAAGACAAATGTCTTCATTTTTAAAGAAAGTAAGAGGGGAGAGTTTGTAGACTATAAAGGAGTAAACTCAACTATTTTTTGCAAAATTATAGAACAGAATTATAGAAAATTATTAATGGAATAGTTGGTGAGCACTTAGAAAAGCAGTAATCACTAAAAGCAAGTATGGTTTCCTCAAGAATAGTGGGTACTAGACTAATCTCATTTCCTTGTTTGATAGAGTAATTAGACAGAGGAATGCTGCAGACATAGTACACTTCAATTAAGCAAAGAATTTGACAAAGTGTCACACAATATTCTTGAGCAGAAGATGAAGAGATATGGGGTGAATGAGAGTACAGTTAAATGCATTTAGATCTGATTAATGACCAGAGCAAAGAGCTGTTATTAATGGTTATTTGATGTCAACTTGGGAGGAAGTTTCCAGTGGAAGGAGTCTGGGATCTGTTCTTGGTCCTATGCTATATTCAATCATTAGTTACTTCGGTGAAGACCTAGATGGCATGCTTGTCAGGTTTACAAATAAAGCATAGAAGGATAGTGAGCATGTTGGATAACAGAGTCCAGATCTAAAAAGATCATAACAGGTTGTTATGATGCATTGAGTTGAATAAGATTATAATTATTAAAAATAAATGTAAAATATTAAGTTTAAAAAATCAATTTCACAAATACAGTATAGGGAAAGGAAGGCTAGAAGACAATTCCTATGAAAAAGGTGTGGAAAGGGCAGCTAGCGGGTGCAGTAGATAGAGCACTAGCCTGGGAGTCAGGAGGACCTGAGTTCAAATCTGGCCTCAGACACATAACACTTACTAGCTGTGTGACTCTGGGCAAGTCACTTAATCCCAATTGCCCCACCAAAAAAAAGGGGGGGTCTGGGTATTTTAGTGATCCACAAATCCAGTTTGAGTCAAAAGTGGGACATGCAGCCAAAAAACAGAATGCTATCCTAAGTTGCATTGATATAAACAAAGCACAAAGAACAAGGGAAATAACAGTTGTGATATATTCAGCCCTTGTCAGGACACATCAGCAGTACTGTGTCAGTCAGTTCTGGGCGCCACAGGAAAGACATAGACTAGCTTGAGTGTGTCTAGAAGAGAGTGACCAAGATGTTGAAAGGCCTGGAGAATATGCAATGTAAGGATCAGCTGAAGAAACTGGGGATGTTTAGCCTGTAAAAGAGAAGACTTAAAGGATACTGAATGCTCCATTCAAATGTCTGAAGGATTGTCATGTTGACTAAGGGATTTGTTCTGCTTGTCTCTGGAGGGCAGAACTAGGAACAATAGGTAGAAAATTTTAAAAGGCCAACATAAGGAAAACCTTCCTCACAGAGCAATCCCGAATTGGGCTGCCCTCAGGAGGTGTTTTTATAGATCTTCAAGCAAAAGCTGGGGGATCACTGTTGCAGATACTGTAGAAGGAAATCTTGGTCATGTAAACGCTTCTGAGATTCCACCTGCTCTTAGATTCTATGATCTTTCCTCTCTTTCCTTCTGTCCACTTGTATCCATCTCTTTTTTGCACTCATTCTCTCTTCCTTTCTTCCTCTACCTGTACTCTTGATCACATCAACTCCCATATCTTTTTGTTCCCCCTCAGTTATCTGAAATCCCTCAAACATCTTTAATCCTTCTTGCAAACATATGTCTTTCCTAACTTGACGAACGCTATTGCCACCATCCTATTTCTTGTCTTTATTTCATACTACTTTTCTAGACTAAACAGTCTATACCAAATGCCTCCATTTCCTCACTATCTACTCTGTACAACACACTTGCAATATGGCTTCTGACCCACCAGTCTACTGAAATAGTTCTCCTAGAGGTCCCTTAATAACATCCTAAATGCCAGTGGCCATTTCTTGGGTCCTCATTCTCTTTTACCAACAAAAATGGTTCTCAAAGGTTGTATCTCAAGTCTCATTAGATGTGCTCCAAACTTCCCTATATCCTAAGATTCATCCCAAACTACCTTCTCTTCACCTTTATAAATGTTATGTGTACCACATTCTTCCAATCATTTAAGTTCAAAACTCTAGCCATCTCTGTGTCTTCCTTCTCCCTACTCTACCTCTTCCAATTAGTTGTGAAGTCTGTTACTTCTTCCTTTAACTTCTCCCCACTGTCCCTTCCTTTCTGGTCTCTGGGCTCAATTCCAATACCCTAATTCACACTCCTATACCTCATTACTCAACTATTTTAATTGCCTCCTAACTTGTTTCCCTTTTCTAATCTATGCTTTACTTTGTGGCTAGGTAAATATTCCTTAAGATTCATATTTTCTGAAAAAATTATGAGAAATATGCCAATGATGAACAATCAAGCTGACTGAAGGGATTTTTTTTTAAAAAAGAAAGCAAGTTTTAGAGTATCTCTAAGGATCATTCTTCCCAGTGGCAAATAATTTA